CTTTAAAACTTGAATGATTCTTGGTTATAGGCATTACTATACACTCAGTTCAACTGACTAATGTTTATTGAATACGTAGTATATGGCAGGAGTAAGAAAATATCCCTGCCTTTGGGGAGTTCACAGTCTAATGGGGAAGACAGTCATGGAAATATGAAGCACAATGCAATAGTAAGTACTATAATAAAAATAGTTTAAAAATGCTTTAAGAGCCTAGAAAGAATGAAATTAACTATGGTGAGGGGGACAGTCACTGAGAAGGAGAACTTCAGGTGTCCCAGACTAACTGTTTTTATCCTAACTGGGCCTCAAAATGTGTGTGTTGATGGATTGGAGTCCCTGTCTCTAGGATGTGTCTTGTGTCTCTGTATTAGTGATCTGTAGCCCCACTCATGGCCACAGGGTAGTATCTGGATATTTCTATACAATACTCTTAGTGCTATACTATCTAAGCATTCTCGTTTTCCTAGTCTTTTCTCACCCAATTCTGGAGGCAAGGGACTCCTGGATGATTAGTTTAATTGACTGAAGAAATGGGGTACAAATAAGAGAGACTGAAAAAATTTGGAGAAATGAAAGAGTAGCCCTGTGGAAGTCTGCTGCATTGGGCATGGGAGGCCATCGGACCACCAGTAGACATGACATTAACATGCTTAACTGACTAGTGAGTTGCCAATGAACCCTATGGCATAGAAAGCTTTATTTGTGCTTCTTAAAGTACATCTAGGTTGTTAGGGTATGCCGGTTTGTGGGAAAACAAGCTATCCTAAGCTTATGTCCTATGGAGGGATATGTGTGGGTTTTTGTAGATGAGATTACGCATATGCATTTAGATGAGCTAGATGAGTACGTAGAGGGAAGAAGAACTTATAAAAAGACAGTAATTCATGCTGTAGGACTCCGCAGCTCTTCCACACTCCCCCAGAGAAGTTCTCAGAGTAGAAGATTGCCGGTTGGAAACCTCAGAAAGCTGTATTCTCAGGTGCCCTCACTGACAATTTTATAAGAATGCTATTGCAGGCAGTAAGAGTCTACACAAGAATTGGTACTTTTAAAAGCAGTAATATTTTTAAATGCAAGGAATAAAAGGGATAAAAACTAAAGATATGATTTGATTTAGTTGCCAACACTTTACTTACTGTCTCTGGCATAACTGTCAAAGAGTGGGTGGGCAGTGGGAAGGAAGAAGGAAGTAACACCTTGATATGGCTTTTAAACACCAGAAAACTAAGGGCAAAACAAACAATAAATTTAGATGAATATTTAGATATTTTATGAATATTTTGTGAAGCTATATCTTTAGTGTTTTTTTGTGAGAAAATTATGACAAAGTATTCACCAGATTTTGGCATTTTTACGAGGACACAATTATTTGTTAGTGAAGGTTAAAGGGAAACTGAAAGAATTCCAGATTGCTCTGTCAGGATTTTGGAATAACACAATGATAGATGAATTTTAAACTCAACATAAGCGAAGTAATGCTGCAGAAGCCGAGATTTTCAATAACTATGTTTATGCATTGTGACAGCTTATAAATTAAAAACCTAGCAACTCTTAAGAAATATACTCAGCCATCACTCGGGATAATAGAGGTGACTGTTCTATAAAAAGGGGAGCTTAGATTTGATGCTATATTGACAATGAAGAAGGAAGTAATTTAAAAAATAGTATTTTAATGATTATTTGCTGTATTTATATGTCACACAATTTAAAAGTTGTTATGAAACGAATATCTGTTTCCTCTGAAAAACTGGTATGTTGAAATCCTACTCCCCATTGTGATGGTATTAGTTGTGACAGAGTATCTCATCATGATTTTGATTTGCATTTCTCTGATGGTTAGGAATGATGAGCATTTTATCACATGTTTGTTGGCCACCCGTATGCCTTCTTTTGAGAAGTGTCTGTTCACGTCCTGTGCCCACTTTTTAATGGGGTTATTTGTTTCCTGCTTGTTTACTCGTTTAAGTTATGGTTTCCAAACATCCCTTTGTCAGATGGGAGAGGGAAGATTATTTGGGAGATGATTATGTCATGAGGGCAGAACCCTCCTGAATGGGATTAGTACCCTCACAAAAGAGATCTTAGGGCTAGGCGGGGTGGCTCACGTGTGTAATCTCAGCACTTTGGGAGGCCGAGGCAGGTGGATCACTTGAGGTCAGAAGTTCAAGACAAGCCTGGCCAACATGGTGAAATCTGTATGTAGTAAAAAAAAAAAAAAATTAGCCGAGTGTGGTAGCACGTGCCTGTAATCCCAGCTACTTGGGAGGCTGAAGCCAGAGAATCGCTTGAACCTGGGAGGTGGAGGTTGCAGTGAGCCAAGATTGCACCACTGTACTCCAGCCTGGGTGACAAAGCAAGACCCTGTCTCAACGAAAAAAAAACAGACCCAGAGAGTTCTCTTACCTGCTTTGCCAGGTGAAGCCACAGCAAGATGGCTATCTATAAGTCAGGAAATTGTCCCTTACCAGACGCTGAATTTACTAGCGCCTTGATCTTGGTAAACGTTCCTTGTTAAGCCACCCATGCTATGATATTTTTGTTATAGCATCCCAAAGAGACTAAAACAAGACAAAAGCAAAAACTAGAAGCTGCTGTGAAATATAAATGGGCTAGGTGAGGGCTGATAAGAGTGTAGGTGGTAAATCATATTGACTATAAGGTAAAATACAAATAAAATGATTAATTTTCAAAATCTGTGTGTAATTAATTAATGTGGAATATTATTTGACAGAGCCAAGACAGAATATATAAGTTGAACTGATTAGGGTATTCAAAGGGAAAAACAGAAAAGCCAAAGTAATTTAAAATGAGTTGAAAAGCTAAAATGAAAAAAGTCAAAGGTAGTATATTGAGAAATATACTATATTAAGCAACTTTTAAGTGGCGTTGAGACAATTCTAAACCTCGAAATAAAAAATGGAGACATTTCAAGGCAGTCACATCTGATCTTAGACAAGTTATAAATTTCTCCCAGTCTCTATTTCCTCCTCTGCACTGAAGGGTGATGCATTCCAGCAACAAACTGTCTTTTGTCTGAGATTATGTCTAATACAGTAGTATTTCCTCATTCTCAGGGGATATTGCCCAAGATCCCCAGTGGATGCCTGAAACCTCAGATGGTACCCAATCCTATATATACTATGTTTTTTCTATCTGATAAGAGAGAGGGCTACTAAGTGACTAATGGTGGATGGCATATATAGCAAGGATATGTTGAACAAAGGATGATTCATATCCTGGGTAAAACAGAGTTTTCATCACGCTACTCAGAATAGTGTGCAATTGACAACTTACATTGTTTATTTTTGAAATTTTCCATTTAATATTTTCCGATCATGGTTCATCATGGATAACTGAAACCAAGAAAAGCAAAGCAGAGAATAACTAACATAAGGTTGAAGAAATTTCCTCATCCATCTTCTTAACTATTGGATAATATTGCTTCGTGGCCTAGATATTATCTTGCACTCTTCCTCTGACTCAATGGATTGGTTTGCTTATCCTAGAGAGAGGAGAGCCGCTGAAATGTTGATCACAATGAAAGAGCTGTGAACATTGGCCCACCATTAGAGGTTTTTTTTTTTTTTCATTAAAACTTTGAATGTGTGGAGGGAAGAATATGGGCATAGTAATCAGATAAACCTGGGTTTGAAACATAACTGTTCCTTACCAGCTGATTGCAAGAGCAAACACGTTTCCTTATCTGGAAAAACAGGGCTAATGCCCACCTTGAAGAACGAAAGTGCTATTCAGCACTCAAATCAACATACTTTGAGGTTTTTATTCCTTTTCTTCTTATTTATAATCCGCTAGGGCCTAACTAGAAAAAAAAAAAAAAAAACACAGATTTGATTATTTTTAGAGTCTTAAACTGAAGAAATCACTGTTGGCTTGTAGTGAAACCTTTAAACAAAATGGAATGAAGCAAGTCTCACAAATAGTAAAAATCAGCCACTCTGTCAGAGTTTGGATACCAAGGGGAATTTTAGCCAACAGGTATTAAATCAACATACACCTCCAGGATTCTTCTGTAGAACAGTATAACCGGTCATTTCTTTGCTTATGTGTAAGACTTCTAGAATGCTATGGTAAAATTAACTCCCTTTTCAATATATTAGGCTTTAAAGTCTAAATATAAAGGCAGTCAGTGTCGATTTTCAGAGCGGAGAGGTCTGTTTCTAGACATCCAGGGAGGATTCGTCCAAATGGGTTTAACCCCCTTGGAGGCCTCGTCCCCAGAGCAACCCCATCTACTAGGTGCAAGGGGCATAAGGAATTCCCCTCCCTCCTTTTTTTCTTTCTTCCCCCTCTCTGAGCTCCCATCCTCATCCTCTTCGGCTGCTGCTTTTCCACCTTCGCTTCCTCCCATAAGCGGTCAAAATAGAAAACAGAAGTACCTATTTGTTGCTTAGTGTAGTGGTCGGAGAGGTTTTTTTTTTTTTTTTTTTTTTTTTTTTTTATTATTACCCCTCCAGGTTCTTCATTTCGCAATGATTGCGAACATCCGCTGGCTCATTAGGCGTCTTAACAAAAGAAAAATGCCCCACTCAACTGTGGCTGACTACTGCGCGGAGGCTGGGGTCGGCTGGAGGGGTTCTGGGTATCATTCGTCAAGGACAGTTCCCCGGGCAAAGGGACCCGGGATCCCAGGAGACGCGTGCAGCGCCGCCCCCTCACAGTGGGGAGGCGCGAGAGAGGCGGCGGTCCCTGCCCAGCCCTGGTAGCCCGTCCCGGGAGCGCGAGGGCGCGGGCAGCGGCCGGTGGCGGCAGCGGCGGGGACGCTGCGCGGCTGCCGCAGGGGAGCGCCGGGAGCGGCGGCGGCGGCGGCGGCGGCGGCGGGCGCGAGGGGCGGGGCGCACTCCGCAACTTCTGCCGCTGCCGCCGCCGCTGCCGCCCGGGCGCTCTCGGCCCAGCCGCGCTGCTGCTGCGAGCTGTGGAGCGGCCGGCTGAGCCCGGCCCAAGCGCCCGCGAGTCCGCGTGTCCCGGGCGTCCGTCGGGGGCCGAGACGCCTCCCGCAGGGAGTCCCCTCGCGGCCGCGCTCCCGCGTTACCCGCAGCGGCCGGGGACCCGGAGTGTGCGGGGGCCCCGAGACCTAGCCGGGCGCCCCCCAGCGGCCGGCGCGGGCCCCATGGCTGGGCCGGGCGGAGCGGAAGCGGCGAGGTGAAGCCCCGGGGCCGGCAGCCGGAGCGCGTGGCGGGGGCGCCGGCTCCATGGGCAGCTGCACACGGCGGCGCGATGATGGACGTTAACAGCAGCGGCCGCCCGGACCTCTACGGGCACCTCCGCTCTTTCCTCCTGCCAGAGGTGGGGCGCGGGCTGCCCGACCTGAGCCCCGACGGTGGCGCCGACCATGTCGTGGGCTCCTGGGCGCCGCACCTGCTGGGCGAGGTGACAGCCAGCCCCGCGCCCACCTGGGACGCGCCCCCGGACAATGCCTCTGGCTGTGGGGAGCAGATCAACTACGGCAGAGCCGAGAAAGTTGTGATCGGCTCCATCCTGACGCTCATCACGCTGCTGACGATCGCGGGCAACTGCCTGGTGGTGATCTCCGTGTGCTTCGTCAAGAAGCTCCGCCAGCCCTCCAACTACCTGATCGTGTCCCTGGCGCTGGCCGACCTCTCGGTGGCCGTGGCGGTCATGCCCTTCGTCAGCGTCACCGACCTCATCGGGGGCAAGTGGATCTTTGGCCACTTTTTCTGTAACGTCTTTATCGCCATGGACGTCATGTGCTGCACGGCCTCGATCATGACCCTGTGCGTGATCAGCATCGACAGGTAAGGGCCGGGCCGCCCCGTCCCGGGCTAGGGATCGGCTGGCAGCTCAGCCCTGCGCGCTCGCCCTTCCTGGGAGGATCAAGCCAGTCTTCGAGGCGGGATGAAGGGCTGTGCTTAAAACAACACCCCCTCCATCCACCCAACACCAACCAAACTTCAGTTACAGCATAGCCTGTGTACATCTTTAAAAGAAAACCCCGAAATGTTCTGGTTTACTGTAGTGACGATTTTAAGACCAAAATTATGAGTATTTTAAGCCTTAGTATTATCCACCAGGGGACCAGGAGGTCCCTTGGCTTGGGTTTTGGAAGGAAGGGATTTGATGCTCCTTGACTTGATCAAGCCTTGCTGTGAGCCTTAAGGAGTCATTTCTTTAAAAAAAAAAAAAAAAATCAGTCGGAGAAAAGCCACTTTGCTTCCCCAGTTGTGGAGCTACTCTCTAGGCCAATGAAAGGACCTTAGATGGTTCTAGAGTTGGGGTCTCAATGTCTTAGACATTGCATCCTTATGATGGTCAATTCGGAATTGCATTCTTGTTTGTGGAAGTCTGGTTTTAATGTTTGGCAATGCTGTCTGTATCTTGCAGGCTTGCTGACTGGAGCCTTGTTCCAGGTCTGAATGGCTGGTTCTAGCCTTTCATCATAGCCCTTGAGAACCTTCTCTTGAGAACTCCCTCACTGGAATAATTGAAACAGGCTTACCATCTGTCAGGGATGCTAGGGGAAAAATTCCTGCTTTGGGTGTCATATTGAACTAGGAGGCCCACAGGGTTTCTTCAGACTCTAAGGGGACAGGCTTTTGAAATGGAGCTAGTCTTTGACCCTTCAAATATTATGCAGTTGACAACCTGAAGTATGGTCTCAGTCCTCTTTGGCCTAAAACAACTCTGTTTCATTTGAAACTGAAATATGAAACCTTAATATTCACACTGAGCATTCTGCTGGTTTTTTAAAACCAGCCCAGGACTAGTATCCTGTTGCGTTTAATGATACAGAGAAATGGTTACTTATTTTCTTAGTGGATCTATAGAACCTTTGTATGTGTAAACCCTTCAGCCTAGGGGAAATAATTGATGCCTCTACACTTAAAATGACAGTGCCTCAAAGGATGGTCTAGCATGAAAAACTGAAATTTTCCTTTTTTTCTTCTTGAAAACACTGCTATTTGTGGTTTGTTGATACTTAAAATGTTCTGCTATGTGTATGTTTTGCTTGACCAGGGTTTATAATTACTAAATAAAGGAAATAATAGGAAAGGGAATATTTTTGAGAAGAAAAATACATTGTAGCTCCTTTTAGTTAACAATTTAGGTTATTTTTCTTTAAATTCATTCTACCATTTTATATGTCATGGTGGAAACTGCTGACAACAAACAAGGAATTAAGAGCAGAGCATGAACTGCATATGGGAGAATATTAGCAGCAAATTTGGCAGCTGAAGTTCTGAATTACAGTAGTTAAAAATGACAAAAACATATGCATTTACAGTTTGGCTGTAGCAACTGGAATTAGGAGAGTGCACTCAAACACATAGTAAGTATATACATGAATTATAAGCACAGAAATCTGACTGCTGAGCCAACCAAAACGGAGCATCTTGCATGAATGGAGTCCTTTTAAATGGAACTTAGTGTAATAAAACAAATAACGGTTTATGCTGCAAGTACTGTATTTATAACCATTTTATTTAAAAATGTCAGAGTTGATAAGCAATACATAAATAGTACCTTGTGCTAATTTGTCTCCTAAAGACAGTCAGTGTTTCTCTTCTGGGCTACATTGAGGTTTGGCTGAAATCACCTTGTGATTCCTGTACATGAGCTAAAGGCATTCTTCACTCAGCATGCATGTGTGACTTAGCATCAGCAGGCATGTCCTGAATACAGAGAAGAGATTAATCCTTCTTGGCAAGAGCTTAACATTTTATTGTTACCTATATTCTTATGATTGTCACAAAGTGTGGTAATATAGGCATGTAGATTTTCCTTTGACCTATGAGAATTACCCCACTGGTGAATTCTGCTTAAAAATTATTTTAGAAGATCAGCATATCAATTCTTTAGAGAAAACGAAGAATTGATAAAATTGGAAGACACAGACTGATTTTCTTCCAAGGACATTGAGAACTAAAAATGAGAAAAAAGGAAAATGTATTATTTCTGAAAAGAATGTTTTCTGCATTCTGTTGTAGAATATGACAGATGATATAAAATATGCTGTGAAAATATGTAAAAAATTAATCTTCATTCGTTCCCTTGTTCATTCCCTCGAGTACCTAACATAGGTTACACTGTGCTTTGTACAGCATAATCAAAGATGAATTACAATATTGTTGCCTTTGTGCTCATACTGTATTTTGAGAGTTTGGATATCTGTTGAGCATTTAACCTGTCTAAAATGGAAACTTTCATTTTTCTTGACTATTCCTCATCACACTGGGATGCTTTTCTAATGTGATGCCATACGGTTCTTCACAGGCTTCAGAGTTCCCGTCCCTGTCTTTTTCAGACAGTGACTTGTATGTATTGAAAAAGTAACAGCCATCAGATGAGAACTCTTGTCTTTCCACCACCAAACAAACAATCTGTACTGAAGATGTACCTTTTTTTTTTT